ATTCTTAGATAAATAATAATAATAAACGCATTAATTAGACGACTAAAATTGCTTTATACTTTTACTTATATATTCTAGAGAAGCCTTTAATATAGTCTACTATTTTTTTATATATATAAGTACTATTTAATAATACGCAGTCGACTATTATAACTAAGTTATCGAATAAACTATTTTATAAATTTCCTCTAAATAAAACTCTTAATCTTATTATATTATTCGAATTATTATAGTAGATATACGTTATTATTAGAGTTAAAGCTATCGATATAATAAGCTTTATTTAAATATCTTAGAAATTTTACTATAATTATAAGTATTAGCCTATATACTTTAGAAAGAGAAATAAGATACTCTTATATCTATATAAAGACTACTCTATTTTATAATCTATTAATATTATTAAGATAGATAAAATTAACTAACGCTATATTAGTTTTTTTAAAATTATTATTAAAATAAATAAGTAAGCTTATTATCTCGATATATCTAATTATTAAAGAGTTTATCTTATATTCTCGATAGTATAGCTAGAACTATAGCCCGCTAATATCAATTTCTTTTATAAATTACTATCGAAGAAGCTTAATTCTATCTACGTGAAAGGCGATATTAATAATTATAAGTTATATAAGATATAGTTCTTATTTAATAAGCGTATTAGATATCGTAATAAGAGTTAGTTAATTAAATATCTAATACGATAAAAAGAATATAATCTTAAATACGATTAGTAATATAATATTAAGCACCTAGACGATGCTTCGAAATTGATAAGAGACTACGAGACCGCTATATCGAAAGACTACGAGATCGATATATCTCTATCTTCGCTATTAAAGCTACTACCTTCGCTATCATTATCATCTCCACTACTAACGACGTTATAGAAGCCTTTCGCTACTATACTATTACTATCTTTACTACTATTATAAAAGCCTTCTATAATCGAATCTTTAAAGCCTATTATAAAGTAAGCTATTGCGATTATAATATCGAGAAGAAAGAAATTAATTTTATAATTTTTTTATTTTTTTTTTTTTTTTTTTTTTTAATTTTTTTTTTTTTATTTTTTTTTTTTTTATTTATATATTTTTTTATTATTATTTTTTTTAATTTTATATTTTTTTAATAATTTTTTTTAATTAAATAATTATATAATTTTTTTTTTTTTTTTATTTATAAAAAAGATATTTTAGTAAAAATTTTAGCTTAGTATTATAAGTAGTTACTTCTTAAAAGAAGAAGAATTATCTTTACTATATATTACTTATTATACTTACATTTTCATATTACTCTTATATTTTCTATACTTAACTAAAACGTATTATCTTAATAATATATCTCGATATTTACTCTATTTACTTCTAAATCCTCTTTTAAATAAGCTTATAATTTTAATAATATAGTTATTATCTTTCGACTTTCTTATAAATTCTTAATATATCTTTTTAAGTAATATAATATTTTATTTATAATTAATAAAACTTAATAAGTATTTAAATTTAAGTCTTATTATTATAATTAATACTTTAAGTATTAAATATATTAATAAAAAATAATTAAGATAGAGAATAATAAGAAGATTTCTATTTATTATTCTATATAAATAAGACTTATATATTAAAAGTCTTTATACTCTTTCTCTATTTCTCTATACTATAATTAATACTTTAATATTATTTCTATTATATATTCTATTAATATCGCTATTATATATATACTATATAACTTCGTATATATATACTACGTCGCTATTATATAGAGTACTAGTACTTATTAAAATAAAGAATAATGATGCTATCCATGAAATTTGGAAGTATGCCAAGCACTCAGCCCTACCTGGACCCTTGTCTTGGCATGTCCAGGACTTTTGGTGCCGACCTCCGTAGACCACATAGATTACACCACACCAATATTATGATATTAAGAACTATTCCTTAACACGCCCAACGGATTTCGTCACTCCTTGCAACGATCTCCTTTCAGCCAGTAACATGGACAAGCACCGATACGCCAGCACGGACTAATCTTATCTACCCGGTATAGTCACCATTTGGGGTGTACATGAGGATGTGCCAAGTTCGATTCCTGCGCGATGTTCATCGCCCTTAGAACGTCCCTTCAACATTCCAACGGCTCTGTGGATTATCGTTCGGGAGCTTGAAATCATTTGCGATCAGGGTATCCAGTTTGCGGAGAATAGGAGATCAAGGGGATGAACAGGATGAGGATACATGGGGAGCCTTTTGCCAATCATACATCTGTCGGCGTGGGCAATATCCTGGCTTTGCGAGAGATGCAGAAAAATGGTCAGGCTGCAGGGAATTGGATCGGGAATTGCAGAAGCTAGGGACTGAATGACGCTGATTCTTATTGCCATCCGGGGGCTTTCTGAAAACTGCGCTCGTAACATCGAAGGACTCCTGCCAGATGAGTGCTTTGTATTATCATGGCGTTCTTGATCTTTAGACGTCGAGAGACTTGTAGTGCGTCCCGCACAGCTCTCAAATCAAAATGTTTGGGTCAGTGGGAACGGTGTTTATTATATTCAATCGAGCGCGCAATCATCGTCCGCATCGCGGAGTGACCCATGCATTGAGCTCGACAACAGGCAGCTTATATGTGACAGGATCTATGTCAAGAACAAATGAGATTCATCTGCTAACAAAGCGACTCTATCCCGACTTTTGCGCAGTGATTTGGAGTGCTGAACCAAAGAGCAACCAGTCTGATCTCAGGTCTTCAGGACAGCGGTTCGAGAACCATCAGTCCTCAGTCGATGAATGAACCCAATTGATTTGGTATCACCAGGTGCTAAGCTAGCAGCAGTCATCTTTTTAGGGCACCCGAGTCCTGGTTTTTGGCAGTGGCTGGAGGGACTATAAGGCGAGCTGCACAACATGTTCTTGGTGCATCGGTCAAACTGCCTTGTCAACTCTCACTGTCGTCCATACCTCTTACCAGATGAGAGTGCTTCTCCGACTTGAAAGCAGATTCTCAATTGGAAACCGGTGCTCTTAGCGAAGCACTGCGGTATCCTGATATTTGTAGATGACAATGGCTTGATAGCACGTTGTCAATTTGACTTGGACAGCTTTTCCCCTGCATAACGGTGACCTGTTGCCTTGCCCTTTCAAATGTCGTGCCTAAATTCTCTCTAATGCTCTTCCCATGTGTTCTAAGCCTACCACTTGCCGCACTGCGGCCATTGTCTTGCCCGCTTGCCGTCGCGCCTTGTTGGAGCCTTCGATTACAATATCATCCAGATAGTGAGTCTCATCTTTATTCATAAGTCGATTGTATTTGTCTCGAGTGCTGGCCAAACTCTCGGAAATAGCACTGGTCACCGTTTCTTTGAACTGTCGCATGTTCATAGAGTTGCAAGCCCGGGCAAGCTCCTCAGCTGTCCTCCCTCGTCCATCGAGGTATGACATTATGGCCAAAAGATTCGACACACCAGGCCGATGATCTGGTTCATACGACACTCCTGGCATTGAATCTGTCATCGCAAGCCTGATTTTGTCACCAATAAGTTTTGGGCCATCGTTTACTTGGATCCGTGAGCGAAAGTCCTGGTGGGATTTTGACATTTTGAGGTGTGGCTCCTTGAGCGACATGACACGCCTCGCAGATGCTAGCAAGTTTTAGAAGAAGAGGAACCGATACAGAGACGATCATGGGTTGACATACATAAGACGGTTTGTGGCTTCACAAGGATTTCCCCATGGACAGTATTGAACTGATCAGCGCATTGTCTTGCAAACTCCAAATGCTGTACTTGGTCCTCTCCTACCGGAACGTGAGTAGCACTGGAAAAATGAGCGAATAATAGTTTGATCAAGTATAGAAGCCATACCCGTAGAGCAGGATATCCGCGGCCTGCAGCACAGGATAGGAAAAGAGTCCGAGTTTGAGTCTTGCTTTTGCACTCGTAGAGTCCAAGGCCGACACTTCATCTGGTACGGTGAGCTTGCTCTGTAGATGATCAGCCAAGATGAACAGAAGACCTTTCTAGATCTCGCTCCCGTCATAACAAACCTTCCACTGTGTCATGCGAGAGAGGTATCCCACAGAGGCTGTACAGCTCAATATCCACATCAACTCTGTGTGCTCCGGAACCTACAAATCCTCAGCACGTATATGCTAACGGGCACCGCTGTCGTGGCAAGGGATCATACTGCAGATTGGTAGAAAATGGTAGATCGCTCGGGATCCAAGCCGACAGCCAAGAGGGTCGCCAACGTTTCTCGTTTCCACCTTCGTAGCTGATCTGCATCTTGGTTGGTAGTGATGGCGTGCAAGTCAACGATGGCATAGAGCAACTGAGTAGAGGGCAAAGCTTCATTTTGCAGTCGAGCCCATTGCTGCAAAGCACCTAGATAATTCCCCAGATGAGGGACACCCGTAGGCTGAATGCCGGAGAATATTACATGGGCTTTGGTTGCGCACAACCGCTTGCTGTGTCGATTGAACCCGCTTATGGCATGTGTCGAAGCCGATTTGCAAGACCAGCTAGGCTGACAACATCCAAGTCGAGAATGCCACCGAACACCAAATAGCATTGCTGATTCTCATATGAGTAGTACTACATGCATGATGCACGTCTCTGCGGTCAATATAGCTAGACGGGCCTAAATTCACCCCTAGAAGCTTAATTCCCCACCCCCCCCCCGGGCCAGAACTCTGCCCATGCTTGTACTCTACGTTGGGAAAGTCTCCTATGTGACCTAAATCTCGACTTTGGATCTGCCACTTCACGTTCTTCATAGACTACCAGAGGCAATACTAGACGAAGGCCCTTAATCAAGAGGAATCCTCTGTTGCTTGACTATCTATGTGGTACTTCGTACCAGTCAAGCACTCTTTCTGGCCGTATCTTGCCATGCTCCGGAAGAGCTTATGAAGGTCGATCGACGCCCAATAATGCTCTGGATAACACCTGCCCATGCACGCTTGAACGATTGCAACAACAAGAAGGATGTTCAAGACACCAACAGTCAAGCACTGCTCGGCAGCGGAATCCCTGTTCGCTGGAAGGCTTCGCTCTTCATCATCTCAAAAGCTCTCTCGGAAGTCTCAAGAGTTTTTCGCCTACCGAAGTGCGCCCATTTTGGCTCCATCGCCTGCTTCAAGTTCTCCAGACTAACATCCATGGTTTTCCCTACCCCTAGAATTGATTTCAGCATTGGGACCATTGGGGAGAGAGCACAACACCTACCGAGCTTTTCATGCTGCCAAACGTTGGCCTTCATACCAACACCGTAGTATGCATGTTTCCTCAAGAAAGCTAGCCAAATCTCCACGGTTTCTGAATGCCCATCTTGTATCTGGATCAGTCGCCGAAGGGTGATCCTTTCGAAATTCTCTTGGCTTTTCTTGAAGATGAAATTACTCCGAGGCACTGTCCACCGTTCCGTGATGCGCGGTAAAGGGATTGGCCCAGCAGCAGGTAGATGGAGATAATAGGCAGCCCGAAGGGCAAACTCTGCCCAGCTTGTACTCACGTTGGGAAAGTCTCCTATGGACCTAAATCTCGACTTTGGATCTGCCACTTCACGTTCTTCATAGACTACCAGAGGCAATACTAGACGAAGGCCCTTAATCAAGAGGAATCCTCTGTTGCTTGACTATCTATGTGGTACTTCGTACCAGTCAAGCACTCTTTCGGCCGTATCTTGCCATGCTCCGGAAGAGCTTATGAAGGTCGATCGACGCCCAATAATGCTCTGGATAACACCTGCCCATGCACGCTTGAACGATTGCAACAACAAGAAGGATGTTCAAGACACCGACAGTCAAGCACTGCTCGGCAGCGGAATCCCTGTTCGCTGGAAGGCTTCGCTCTTCATCATCTCAAAACTCTCTCGGAAGTCTCAAGAGTTTTCGCCTACCGAAGTGCGCCCATTTTGGCTCCATCGCCTGCTTCAAGTTCTCCAGACTAACATCCATGGTTTTCCCTACCCCTAGAATTGATTTCAGCATTGGGACCATTGGGAGAGAGCACAACACCTACCGAGCTTTTCATGCTGCCAAACGTTGGCCTTCATACCAACACCGTAGTATGCATGTTTCCTCAAGAAAGCTAGCCAAATCTCCACGGTTTCTGAATGCCCATCTTGTATCTGGATCAGTCGCCGAAGGGTGATCCTTTCGAAATTCTCTTGGCTTTTCTTGAAGATGAAATTACTCCGAGGCACTGTCCACCGTTCCGTGATGCGCGGTAAAGGGATTGGCCCAGCAGCAGGTAGATGGAGATAATAGGCAGCCCGAAGGGCAAAGTCAGCAAAGAATTCCACGTTTCGTACATTGTAAGACCGTAATTGCAGATCGCAGGTGGGCACGCCGTATTGTGCGCGCCGCTTCAGAGGTTTAAGGTAGATAGCCTGAACGCTTCGAGGTAGACGTGGGTCGTCACGCTGCTCTGGAGGTATATACTCCTGAGGCTGTCCTTCGGGAGTGGTCTGTGCCATTTGGGCATCTGTGTTGTAACCTTCACCGAGTAATCCTGTAGAAGCACTGGACTTGGGCTTAGTCGATGCATATCTTGCGTATAGATTTGCTTACTTTGCGGGTTTGCTTGGTGGTGTTTGAAACGGCGCAGGCATTTCCGGCCTGCGACACATATGACTGTGAGCATCGAGACAATGATAGAGTTCCTGGGTCACTGACAGGTTACGATTATGCAATTCCGCATCTTCTTGCGATCTGTACCTTGTTGCTGCCGAGAACCTGGCTCTTGTGGACGGCGTTCCCAGAGAGCTCCTGCATTGATCTCTTCTCCTCAGAATTGACATTGCTATGGTCCGTGCTTGAATATGGCCCAGGAAGTAACCCGCCTCACACAAAGGGATGCGTGTACACGCCCGTGAGGACGCCATGCTGCCTCAGACTCGTTCGATCCTCGATTGCGATCGAAGGCTTTCCCTTCGCAGCCCCTTCCCGCGCGTAGCGGCGTGGCAAGTGGAGAATTTTTTTGGCTCATATACTCGTATGTACCCGGTAATGCCCGCTACCTGGTACTCGTTTCCACCCCCATTTGCACGTTACCCCCATTTGCACGCTCTTAGACCCGATAAATCCGATATAGATAGCCACCACTACTACTTATTTACATAAACTACTATTATATTTTATTATAAAAGCTATTATAATATAATAATTACGAGTTTAAATCTATAAATTAAATTTATAATTTTTTTTTTTAATTAGAGCTATTAAGTAAATTTAATAAGCGATCTTTAATAAGCGAACTTTAATAAGCGATAATTGAATTCCTTACATTTAAATAATTATAAGATAAAATTCTAGAATTTTTTTAGCGTTGAAAAGCGTAAATTACGATTTATAATTTAAAAAAAAATTTAAAAGATTTTAATTAGTATATATAAAAGAATAAGATAAGATTAAGTTATAAAATTCTAAATTTATATATATAGCTAATTATAAATTTATTAGATCTATACTCTTTAATTAGATTAATTAAATTATCGCGAATAAATAAATTAATATTCGTAATTATTAAAAAATCTTTTATTCTACTTATAATCTCTTAATAACTTTACTATATATTATAAAAAAAAAAAAATAAATAATTATTATTTTTTTATTTTTTTAATTTTTTTTTTTTTTTAATTATTTTTTTTTTTTTTTTTTTTTTTTTTTTTTTTTTTTTTTTATTTAATTTTTTTTTTTTTTTTTTTTTTTTTTTTTTTTTTTTTTTTTTTAATTTTAATTTTTTTTTTTTTTTTTTTTTTTTTTTTTTTTTTTTTTTTTTTTTTTTTTTTTTTTTAAATTTTTTTTTTTTTTTTTTTATTTTTTTAAAAATTTTTTTTTTTTTTTATTTTTTTTTTTTTTTTTTTTTTTTTTTTTTTTTTTAAATTATTTTTTTTTTTTTTTTTTTTTTTTTTTTTTTTTTTTTTTTTTTTTTTTATTTTATAATTTATTTTTTTTTAAAAAAAAATTTTATTTTTTTTTTTTTATTTTTTTTTTTTTTTTTTTTTTTATTTTTTTTTTTTTTTTTTTTTTTTTAAAAAAAATTTTTTTTAAAAAATTTTTTTTTTTTTTTTTTTTTTTATTATTTTTTTTTTTTTTTTATTAATATTTTCGAAGCCTAGTTATTCTCGTTATTCGATTATAAACGTTATTAGATATCGATAGAAGTCTAAAACTCGAGATTTACTCGACTACTAAGAAAGCTAAGAATCTAATATATATATTCTATTATAATATTATCATAATGATAATTTAATTAAAAAGCTAGCTTTCTTTCTATCGATAATTTTAAAAAAGTACTATTAAGATCTAAATCGAGAAAGTCTTCTCTATTCGAAAAGTAACTAAATTTCTTAACTACGAATATTAAATTTTTATTAATAACGAGTAAAGACCTATAAATTAAATTTATAATTATTTTTTTAATTAGGACTATCGAGTAAATAGATAAGCGATCTTTAATAAGCGAACTTTAGTAAGCGAGATTTGAATTCCTTACGCTTTAATAATTATAAGACTAAATCTAAGAGTTTTTTCTTATCTAAAAGCCTATATTTTATTCTATAATTTAAAAAAAATATCTTAAAATTTTAATAGAAAACAAAAAAGATATTCTAAAATTAAATAATATATACCTATTTTTTAATTAGGGCTGTCCGGCTATCGAGCGAACTTTGATAAGCGATATTTAATAAGCGATATTTGAATTCCTTACGCTTTAATAATTATAAGACTAAATTTAAATTTTTTTTTCTAAAAGCCTATATTTCGTTCTATAATTTAAAGAAAAAATCTTAAAATTTTAATAGAAAATAAAAAAAGATACTCTAAAATTCTCTACGAATATAATATTATTCTAAAGCTACCTTAGGGGAAGCACGTACTTTAGAAATTTTCGACTAATTTTTCACACTTATATAGTTAATAAATATATCTTATTAATTTAACTTTCACATTTCGAATTTCTATTAATATATTATATATATCGTATTCTTTTTAAAAGTATATCTAGTTTATAATATTATTAATAGCTTAATTTTCAGAATAGATAGCTATAAGAAATTTAAAGTATCTTATAGAATTATTTTATTAACTATAAATTATTAAATTATTAATAGATTATTAATAGAGAAAAATAATATTTATTAAAATAGCGTATTTATAATTATAATATCGATAGATATAGGCGATAAAAAGTGTAAATTAATATTATATAATACGTACGAGTAAAGGCCTATGAATTAAATTCATAATCATTTTTTTTAATCGAGGCTGTCGAGTAAATTTTAGTAAGCGATCTTTGGTGAGCGATATTTGAATTCCTTATCTTTAAATATCTATAAGACTAAATTTAGTAATTCTTTCTATATTTGAAAGCCCATATTATACTCTATAGTTTAAATAAAAAAAATTAAAATTTTAATAGAAAATAAAAGAGTTATTCTAAAATTAAATAATATATACCTATTTTTTTTTAATTAGAGCTGTCCGACTATCGAGCGAACTCTAATAAGCGATATTTGAATTTCTTACGCTTTAATAATTATAAGATTAAATTTCAATATTCTTAAAAATTCGGAAAGCGGAGACTGCGCTCCAACATTTAAAATTTGAAATTTCAAAAAGTTAATAGAAAATAAAAAAGTTTTTCTATATGTTAATAATATATACCTATTTTTTTTAATAATTATAAACGCTAATTTATTTACCCGCGGTATCTAATTAAAAAGTGTAGATCTAACGAATTAATAATTGGCTATATATATAAATTCAAGGTTTTTAAGCTTAGCTCTATCTTATTCTTTTATATATACTAATATAATATAATTAACTTAGATATTCGCTATTATAAATAGCGTTTAAGCTAAAAAATAGCTTAAATAATAATAATAAGATATTATAATTTTTCTAGATTTTAAATAAGATTAAAAAGTATAAATATATTAATAATATAGAACTTATAGATATAAAAATAGAATTCTATTAATAGAATATTTATTCATTAAGTTTAGCGATAAAGATATATTAATTATTTTTTATATATTAAGTTTTTTTTAATTCTTCTCTATATCTAAAGATATTAGAGAATAGATTTATTTAATATATTTTTATAATATCTTCTTATTAGATAGCTATATTAGCTATTATAATTATTATTTAATCTCTTATTATAATTAATATAAAGTATCTATTTTATAATTCTAATAATATTATTTTATTTTAAAAAGACTATATAAATAATTTAATTTAATTTTAGAGATATTTTTAAATTTAATTAAGAATCTCGTTTATAATATAATTAATTTTATTTCTAATATACTTAAAATATTAGCGTTAATTAATTTATAACTTATTTAAATATTATTATACTTACTCTTTATTAAAATCTATTATTTTATTCTCTTTCTTTTTAACTTTATAATCTTATTTTCTAATATTAATATTTATATCTTCTTCTTATATAAATAAACTTAATCTTATATACTCTATTATAAATAAATCATGAATTAAATTTATGGAGTTGAATTTTTCTAAGTTAAAATTAAGATGGATTTTTCAAGTTAAATGATAATATTTTTTAAGAAATTAAAATTATTATTATATTATAAATTAGTTATTTAATCTTATAATTTCGAAAAATTAGAAATAATAAATAAATAAATAAATATACTATTAATAAATATATTAATTATTATAATATTTATATTTTTAAAAAAGTGTTTTATAATATAATTAGTTAATTTATTAAATAAATAATAAAGCTTATTAATATTAATACTAAAATTTAAAATAAAAAATATTATTTTAAATTAATATATATAATATTTAATATATTATATTACTTACTATTTATTTAATATAAAAATATTATAAAATTTATAGAATTTAAATAATTTATATAATATAGAGTTAAAATTAAAAATAATTAAAAATTATAATAATTTTAAATCTTATTTTATTAATATAGATTTTTATATAATAGAGTAGAATTTAAAAAAAAATTATAATAGTATATAATAAAATAAAATAAATAAATAATTTATCTTATTATTATTATTTTATATTAAATTTATATATTTCTATTTATACTTAATATTATTTAATAATTATTCTCTAAAATTTAAAAGTAATCTTATTAATATTTTATAATAAATCTTAATTTTATTTATTTTATAGCGAAGATATTATTATAATATTAGCCCCTTCGACTATCGTATAATATATCGCGTATTACTAGAGCTAGTAATTACTAGCTATTATTAGCCACCTATTTTATATATATAAATATTTATATATTTTATAAATTAATAATTAGTCTTTTAGTTATAATTATTCAATTTCTAATATATCTAATATTCTACTTTTAATAGATTATAAGCTCGAAAGCGAATAGAGTAATATTAAATATTCTTATACTTTCTAATATAGATATTAAACTAAGTCTTCGATAATTGTTTATAAATAAATACACCTTATAGCGACAGCCTATTTTTTTAACTTATATCCACCGACTAGAGGGCTATCGCTATTTCATTTCTATATAAAAAATATCGAATTAAAATCCTCATTTCATTCGAGGTCTCGAAATTAATACGGGTAAAAAACCCTTATATTATACGAGAACCCGAATCAATTAAAAACTCTTATATTATTTCGAGGTTTCGAAATAATATAGACAAACCAATAAAACTCTTAGATTATTTTGAGATCTCGAAACAATATAGGTAAACTAATAAAACCCTTAGATTATTTCGAGGTCTCGAAACAATACGGGCAAAACATCAAAAACCCTTAGATTATT